GTTCAACCTGCCTATATGCCTTGCAAAACACCTAGAAGTGCAAAAAAGGGAAAAAAAACTTTTCACTACAAAGTAACTAATGAGTCAAGCCTATCGTGGGTTGTGACACACGGGGGTAGTAATGACACGTCGTGCAGAAAAACATCATTTTATTTGAAAGAAACAATGTAATTGGTAAGCAATGAACACCAGGGGATATCAAAGATAATTTAATCCTGATTGCCATTAGTTAATCCTCAAACTTAATATGTTGTGTATTCAATGTTCATTCAGACATTGTTACATGTCAAGAAATAAAGAAGATGCTTTACATAACCAGAAAAAGCATGCTGAGAAATGAGAGGCATCACGAAGAACAGAAATCTAACCTCAGGGAGTCTGGCAGCAAAATATTTTATGTAATCCCTTCCGATATTCTTTACAATACTGTCCAAAAGATAAAGTGATGGTAACTTCTGCTCACTAGAAACCTGCAAATTACTTTCTACAATTAGATACGAAACACTAGTTACAGCCAATATTGTTTGAACAAATAAGTGACTGATAAACCAATGGCCTAACACCAAAATGCTTCCCGAATGAGAAGGGAAAGGGGAAGGATAAGATGTTCCAGTATAGGCTCTTCAAATCCATTTAAAAGATATCAGAAGCAACACATCTGCAGCTACTGTCACTTCTAAACTAGCCCATTGTGCAGCAAGAACTAATATACATCCCCTCCCCACCCAGCTACTTGGCAGCTGAACCAAGGCCTAGAGGTGCATGCCACATTGAAGATATTTCCCTTAGTAATTCTTCAAGTCCTTTCTTGAACAAGTGATTCATCTTATGTGACTTGTTTCTCATGTTTCCTTCAAATAACTTGTCTCTCACTCCAATTTCTGTCTCACAAGGATTCAAGTCTTTACCTAGCAAGATCATTGACAATTAACTAAGTAACAACACACCCAGCACTCTGCCACTCCTGCATAATATAATATCTAAAGACACATCTCCAGACACCAGATAATCATGAGACAACTTAAGCTAGAATGGGAATGTGCGGTAGCAGAAGCTTAATTGAGAACAATTCAAGACTAACGATATAAATCTATCTGGCTAAAAAGAGTTTAAACAAACAAGAAGACATTGGGAAACAATTGATTGACTTCAAGGTATAATGTAATGGAACATCCTATGAATTAGTGGCAACCACAATAATGACTCAAATATGCCCTCCTTTCAAATGTAAGAATATGAATGAAATTGGCACCATCCCTTCAGTTTTTTCTTAACAAAATAAGAGGTTTGTATGTATTGTCTGCTTTATCAATATTACAATCTTTAATTACCATTAGAGGATCAGTATCTCAAGGAAAACACCACAAAGAAAAACCATATGAGATCTTGCACCAGTAGAGATCAGCTGTCAACCTCTTGCAGGAGATTATCATCAGGTGTAAACAAAATCCCCAGAGATCTAAAGGCATAAGGTTATCATACACAACCATAACATCTCATGTGGGTTTACTAAACATAGAGGCATCTATTAGGCCATGAAAGAAAGTGGTTTTACACTCTTTTGAAGTGCTGCATTGTTGTTGTGAAAAAACAAAACAAAAATAAAAAGGCAGAAAACGAAACCACAAAACAGCATGCAGAGGTTTTCCGTGTAAATCCATAACCATAAGGATGTAATTTATTTATTTGGTTCAAAATCTGCTACAACTCATTCCACAAATGTCGAAACCCTTCTCATGCAGCTATTCAGTACAAATGCAGCCTCATTCGCGTGCAATGGTAAACAAATTTGGCAGAGACAACCAGAAGACCATAAATTGGAACCTGTTAAACTGGGGGAATGTCAACAAAAGATATTGATTACAATGTCCAAGGCCTGACCGAAGCAAGTTGTAGCCGAACACTCAATTCAATATCATACTGGAACAATAAAAGATTGAACTGGGATACACCAGCTCATTACTTCCATGGCTTCACTGATGAATACAAACATTCCCTTTCAGGGTCAACACTTGAACACCACACTTATCATGAAGCTTTGTATTTGCTTCAAGAAATATAAATAAAAAACAAAAACAAAAAACCCGGATTGAGCTAATTTTAGAACCAAACCACAACTTTTTGAGCACATAAATAGTTCACATCCAAGACAAGCACAAGGATCTAACAAAACCACTTTTTTCACTAAATCATTGGCATAACATGACATGCATAAGAGCGAGCACTGGCACCATTTTAATTCTCCTTTTCCACCTCCATTTCCTTTTTGCATTTGTACAACACGAATTCAAAAAACTGGCGCCATAACCAAAATATTAAACACAAATACAGCTACATACACAGTGTAAAGCTGGGTTTCACCTCAATAATGTTGCCGCATACAGTGGCCGCGATCGCCTTCGCAGCATGGACGCTCTCCCCAGCAATTATCGTCAAATTAGTGATTATGGGCTTTGAATTGAAGGTGAGCTCCGCCAACGCCGTCTTGTACTGGCTCACAAGCTCCTGATGCTGCAGTGGCTGCGGCACATAGCCCCCGCCGCGACTCGCGTCATTGCTCTCCGAGTCTCTATCGCTCACTCTGAACCTTGACAGCACTGGGTTAGCTACACCGGGTCTTTGCGCGAAAGCTCGACCATTTGGGTTCGAGTTCGGGTTCAGGCCCCGGTCGTCGGCCAATCGGGGCTTCTTCACTGGTTCAGTCGATCTGGTAAACGGCCTACGCGAGCTCTCCATTTCCATCGCACTCTTAGAAATGAAAACCCTAACCCTAAATCTAATCTACGATTACAAATCAGTCATCTACAAAAATTCAATCCAAAAAACATATACTGCTAACAACGCAAGGGCCTAGCTATCAAAATGACAATAAATTAAAAACAACCCTAAGTACATGGAGAATCAATATAAACCCTGATTCTTATTACAATTATACAAAATTTAACCAAACTAGACAATTTGGCGCTAAAGTTTGGGGATTTATTGGGATTACAAGCTTGGGGAATTGGGATTTAGGGTTAGATTAAGAACAAGGCGATGTAGAGGAGTGTGTCTACCTCTGTGATAGAAATATATAGCGAATGTCCGTTTTTAAGACAAGAAGAAGAAAAGGGACCCCAAAAAAAAAAAAGGACCTTTCATGAATCGAGGATGAAACGAGGGCTTTTTTATTATTATTTTTTCTTGCTAACAGTTTTTTCTTTTTATTTTTCTTTCTGGTTCTAACTGCTTTTGCTTTTCATTATTTTTTGTTGATCGATTTTGTTTGATGGGCAAGTATTAACTGTATAATTCTGCTATAATATTATATTTCATTATAAAATCTTTATTTTAACAGTGCATTGCCAATTTTTTTAAATATAAATTAACAAAAGCCCTCTCTAAAACCTCAAGCAATTTTAATAATAAATTAAAAAATAATTATAATAAGAGTTTTTTTTTTCTCTAGTTATAATTGGCACTCAGAAAAAATAGTGCATTTAAAGTGTGAGTTTTTTTTTCTTTAACAAAATGATAATATGATTAGTGTTCGCCTTCAAACTTATAATCATACAAAGAAAGTAAAACCTTTTTACATGTCCATATGACAATGTGGTAATGAATCAACTAAACGAATGCATCACGGATGTATGACAATATTGAGATGAAGAAAATTAGAACACTATAATGTGTGATCTGAAACCGTTGAAAAAATTATAAAACAAACAAGGGGGATACTCTTTTGTCTAAGAAGAATTTCTTAAGGTCCCATGGGTTGCCCCTCTCTCTTCTAAAACCCTTTTGGTTTAGGGGTTTTACCTAGAATCAACCTCTTCGCCTAATAAAATAAGTGCCTTTCTCCTTTGTCATGTTGTAGAGAGATTTTTCCTCTCAGTTTTGTGCTGGATTTTGTTTCTCTTCAATTTTGTACTAGGTTTTCACCAGTCTTTTTGGATTGGTTGTTATGGAGGTGAAGTTGTCAGATCTAGGTGGATCTTTCATTAATGGGTGTTGTGGGATCATGTGGGATGTTAAAGGTATTGTGGTATTCTCTAGCCAAGTGAATATTGAGCGGTAAGGTCCTTACACTTTTGGTGCCTCTGATTCCCTATTATTGCAAAATATGTTGGTTTTACCATGATCTCTGAAGAATTGGGTTCTGCCATGAGTCTTATTGATCCTCTAGTTTTCAACTTTCAATGAGATGAGTTTGATATTTCCATGTTTATTGTTCACTGTCTTGCTGCATTTACTTTGTCCAAAATTTATATGCAAGAACTTTCATTTAGGGTATATTCTTATTGAAATATATTGTATTTGGCCCTACTTCAATGAAATTATGCTTGTTCTATAAAATAAAATAAAATAAAGTGTTATGGGTTTAATCACAATGGATTATGTGCAGTATTTGTATGTAATAATTCAATAAGAAACTTCTTTATTTTGATATAGTGATATTCTAAACTATTTAAACGTATGAGGAGGAGATGGAACTTAAACCAAACGGACGATTACAATTGTTTTGATAAAGTCAAACCACTTCCTCATATATTCTATTATAAATTTTTGTTGGATAATGGTTGAGGGGCATATGCATGCGTGTGTGTGCACCACTTGCACGTGACTAAAGGATATGCCGCAACAATATGATAGATAAATACAAATTCCAATTTTTATCTCATCATCTCTATGTGATTCAATCACATAATCTCCATCACATCACACACATATAATTGTGATTTGCTTTATAATATTCCAAAACTGGAATTAACAAAATATTTAAAAATTGGAGGCCATCTGCGTCCCTTTTTTAGAAAAAATAGTTCGTTAGTAAATTATTAAAAAGCATGAATGGATTATGGAATAGACAAAAAATGAAGGAGTTTGGGCTTGGGTTGGGTTTCAAAACGAAAAATTGGGTGGGCCCAAAAAAGGCCGGGAACAGCAGCAAATGTTCAAAGTCCAGAATGGGCCCACAAAACCCTAAAGGCATCAGTCCATAGTCGGTCTTTGGAATAAAACCCTAGCTTCCCTTCCAACTTCTGCAACTGGTTTTTCAGAGGTTTTACTGTTTGCAGCCAACCATGTTGACAGTGAAAACTCCACAGAAAGGAAAGGCCAGAAGGGAGCTAGAGAAACGCGCCCCCAAGATCGTAAGTTCCATATGTGTTTGTTTCTCTGGAAAATAAAAAATTTCCCATGTCCAAAAGCGAAAGTTAAGATCTTTTCAACTTTGTTATTGTTTTTTCAATTGGGTTTTTGATAATTTGAAGGTTGAGACCGGGAAGAAGACGCTTATACTTCACGGCAGAAAGACGAGCAATGTGGTGAATTCAGTATTGTCTGACCTTTATCATTTGAAGAAGGACAGTGCTGTGAAATTCAGCCGCAGGAATGAGGATATTAGCCCTTTTGAAAGTGGCGGTGACACTTCCCTCGAGTTCTTTTCTCAAAAAACCGATTGCAGCATTTTCGTTGTGAGTACAAAACCAACTCAGATTTTTGCTTCTCCCACCATATATATGTATTATGCAAGTGTTTTCTATTTTGAGTTATGGGGGATAATTCCGTTTTGATAGTGTTGTAGCATTTGTTTAATTTTACTTTCTTAATTGTTACTATTAATGAATGTTTTTTGGAAGATGATGCACGCTTTCTATTTCTTTATTTGAGCAGTGACTGTTTGTGTGTGTGTGTGTGTGTGTGTGTGTGTGTGTGTGTGTTGTGTAGTGTATTGATTTTGCTGTTCTCTCGAATTTGGCTTGTGATGGTGCTTATTTTTATTGTACAATCCATTCTCAAATTGATTGCTATTACTTGTAGCATGGAATTTGTGGAGTTCTTCTCAGTTTATGTTTCTAATATGGACCTGCCTCTTTTATTCTTGTGACAGTTGTGATGGATTTGGTACGTGAACCAACTAGTTTTAGGCATGTTTGGAAATTGCAGACTCTGAATTCGTAAAAGAATATAGAATAAAAGCAAAGCACCCATGAAAGTATTTGTATTGTAAAGAGAATAATTTTGTTAGGAAAACTTTCATGACAAGAAAGTAGAGTAACACAGATATTAACCAAAAAATGTAACTGCAAAGAAAATAATCGTACTTTATGGGATTAAATGAAATTTTGAATTGTCTTTTATCTTTGCTTTAGCTGCCTGCTTGTGTCTGATACCTGTGGATTTTCTGGCTTTCTGTATAAAAGATTGCCATTTACACAGAAGAGCATATGAATGAACTTGCGTATTAATTCTATCATCTCTTTCACACAAGAATTTGATGAGCTTTGATTGCTTATGCAGGGAACATTGTTCTTGTTTGATTATTTGTCAGAGTTAAAATTTGAAAGCATTTTTACCTTCATCCAAGATTTTGGAATGCCAATGATGCTCGTTTCTCTACTTCTGTTTTTTAAAATTTTTTTCATTGCTCATATTATACAGTTTGGTTCTCACTCAAAGAAGCGGCCTGACAATCTTGTAATAGGGAGAACTTATGATCACCATATATATGATCTTGTGGAGGTTGGGGTTGAAAATTATAAACGCATGGAATCATTTACATATGACAAGAAACTAGCACCACGTGTGGGGTCGAAACCTTTCGTTTGCTTTATAGGAGAAGGATTTGAGAACGCAGGAGAGCTGAAACATTTGAAGGAAGTTTTGCTTGATCTGTTGCGAGGAGAGGTTAATCTCTGCTGCCATTTGCACATTCTTTGGTTTTGAATTTTAGAGGGATATTAATAGATGCATAAAAATGATATGTGCAGGTTGTAGAGAAATTAAATCTTGCTGGTTTAGATCGTGTATATGTATGTACAGCTATATCTTCAAACAAAGTGGTCCTTACTCTTTGTGCACTGCGACTGAAAAAGTCTGGTACAGTAGTTCCAAGAATGGAACTTGTTGAAGTTGGCCCCTCCATGGATTTAGTAGTTCGTCGGCATCGTCTTCCTAATGAAAGCCTAAGGAAAGAAGCAATGAGAGAAGCCAAAAATCAGCCTAGGAAGGTTTGATTTCTAAATCATCTTCTTATCTCTCTTGTTTATTTTGCCTTTGACATGCTTGTAACACAATTCCTATTATTACTTTCCAGGACAAAAATATTAAACAGGACACACTGCGCGGCAAGGTTGGGAAAATCAACATCCCGAACCAAAAGGTAAACGGCGAAAATAAATTCTTTCATTTAGCAGCAGTACCCTGTCTAAAACGTTACCCTTTGGTCTCATGGGCAAAGATGTGTGGTGGAAAGCTTTGCATCTTTCTCACTACACAGCTGCAGGACTTTTTAAGTTTCAGTATACATAATTTGGTCTCAGTACACTGATGTTAAGGATGTCTGACGTTTCAAAGGTGGCTTGTTGGATGGCATTTGTCTCATATTTTTGTCTAATATTTGTAAATCTTTTTTTGTTAACAACATTTATGTGTGTAGATTGGAGACACGGTGTATTATCACACAAAGGTTGGAGACACATTTGTGCCTAGCAAAACCAAGGGAGTTAAAAGGGAGCGCCGCGAGGCTAGAATGAAACACGAGAGTAATGAGCGTGCACCAAAGGTTCAAGACATGCTTGTGCCTAAGAAGTCAAAAAAAGCTAAAAGGGAACGCCGTGAAGCTGGAACGACTGAGGAGGGTAATGAGCATGCATCGAAAAGGCAGAAGGAGGGTGCTGAGTAATTCTTTTTGGATAAGCAGGCTGCGCTGGGAACAATTCACGTTTACTCTCTTGCTGGCATCGGCTTTTGCTTTTGGGCCAATGCTTGCAAGGGTTGAAGTCAAAAGGTGGTAGGGATCTAAGGAGCTAGGGATTTTGTTCTTTCCCATCTTTCATAGGTTTGACTTTGCATGCCTAACATGAGTTACATCTGTTGTGTTGTTATCATTTTCATGTGCAAAAGTGACACCGTATAATTTAGTGTTGAGCTAATCGTTCCATTTTCCAGGCTCTTCCCACCCTTGAGTTTCAATTACTTACCACATCAGCAATTGTCGGAGAAGCGTTCCTTTGCTATTGAAACATATATTTACCTAATGTTTCTTATTTTATTTTCTTGTTAGTCATATTTCAGAAATGTTCGCTTGCTACGCTACACTGAACTGAATACGAACTATTCTATGGTTGGATTAATAGCAAATACTGTTCAACTGAGTTTTTGCTATTTTTGATGCCAATGGTCGCCTGTTCAGGGTTGAGCTCTATACAAATAATACAAATATTCTTGCTTATCCCAGAAACAACGAACCGAGTGATTCCGAGGACCACCATACCATACAAGGCTCACCGTTCAACCACGCCTGAGCGGTTGACAGTTGCTCCAACGTCTCTTTGAACAAGTATAACTGCATATGACACACATGCCCCTCGACGAATATGGCTTATCACCCGAAAAAGAAAAGCATTTTACTTTGAAGTCTGAACAGACTCTCCTCCCTTTATTGAATCATGATTGTTTAACTGAAAAAAATGGGTTAATTACAGTTTAGTACCCTGTAGTTACACTCTTAAGACACGTTAGTCCTTATATTTTCAATTTTAACAATCACATACCCTAGTCTTTTAAATTTGTTACAATGTGATTCCGCCATTAGGGTTTCTATTAGATATCTCTGTTAGTTGCCTACGTGGCACTGTGGGTCCCACATTTTTCAAATTTTAATTTTAAATTGATTAAAATATGAATAAAATATTAAAAACCAAAAAAAATAAAAAAATGATCTCTCTCTTTCTCTCTCTGATCGTTCTCTCTTCTCTCAGCTCTCTCTCTTCTCTTTGCTCTCTACCCCATGACACCACCACCTGCTATACCACACCCCAGCATGCAACCACATCCCCACGAACCAAGAAATCAAAAGAAGAATAAGAATAAATTCATTCAACAGACTAAACTAAACCAGTAGTTTCGATCTATTGTACCTATCAAATAAGTTCATCTTGCTGGAATTTTTCGAGCTGGAAAGGGCAATTGAGCATGCATGACCATGTTTCCCCAACAGAAATGCGCTGCCCTTCGCAAGGGTTAAGACCTGCAGTGTTCATAGCTCAAAACTATCTGTTAGCAACAGGACTATAAGATCAATGCAGCTTAGAACTAAAAGGAATGCAACCTATAAAATAAATAAGAACAGTCAGAATGGATATCAAAGATGAAGGAATAAAAGCTGATAATAAAGAAAGGATGGAACTTTCATATCAAATGAATATATTCATTAATATATCGTCCAAATAATAGACCCCTGCACTAAAAATGACTAAGATCCGCAAGGGCAGCAAATGGAGAAGCAAATGCAGCCCCTATGGATCAATACGTTTAGATGTTGTCGTCTTTCGGCTGGGCAGCTTGACCATCAGGCTCATCAAATGAAGATTCATCAGCTGGCCACTTATCAATGCCTGACCCTCCTGCTGCATGCAGGGGACCTATATCCCAGATATCTAACAATTCGCTTGTCACTCCCATCTCTGGCACATCATAGTTGATCGGGTTACTCCATAACTCATTGCTAGAACTTGACATCCCAGCACTGACATCAAAACCCAGGCTCCATATATCTTCTTGTTTAATCATGCTATCGATCCCTGGAGAGAAAAGTTCCGGAAACATCTTATTCTTCCCAAAATCCTCCTGGAAAGAGACATAATACTCGGGATTAACCTCCTGTTGCGGCCTCAGAACACTCTTCCCTTTTTGAAATGGATCTTCAGCTCCCATGCTTGACGCCCCTTCACCTTCTTGCTCTGGTGTTTTGATAAACCCTCGCGTTACTGCTGTTTCAGCTGATAAATTTAACTCATCTGATGCTACATCCGCAAATTGATATGGCTTGCTTTCTGCAACCAAACCCAGTTTTCCTGCCATAACTTGTGAAAGATTATCAGGAGATTGTTCAATAGGAACTACTGGATTCACATCTGGGACTGCGGAGTGATTTCTCCAAGCAGGTTGGTACTTCACAATCTGCCCTTGCATACAAGAATCTGATTTACCTAGTTCATGCTGATGCTGCTTAACAAATTTCCTCTTCATCCTTGGAGAGTCTATACCTTTCTGTCCTGTCTTCTGTTGAAGGCGGGCTAAGAATGCTGGGTTTTGAAGCAACTTGGACAAGAAAGAAACCATCTGCTTCTGTCTCTGCTCTGCAGACTGAAGCCTCTCGTTAACTACTTTCATATGGTGAACTGTACCCTGCTGTCGCTGCTGCAAATCACCAACTTCCTGCATTAACATACTTCTCTCTTTCCTCAAAGTCTCAATGTCACCTTCCAGTCCGGGCCTCCCTGCTTCGGCAGAAGGCCCAACCTGCAGTGATTGAGGTGACTTGCGCCTCTGGATCTTCTTCAACAACTGTCTTTTGCCCCTTTTGAAAGCTTCATTCGCAAACTCCCACTTATCTGTATCAACCTTGCGAAACCCCTGAACACAGTACCCAAAGAATTTCAATAATGAATGGAAACGAAACAGTACCGAAATCAAAAGATAGATATAATTATTCAAGTAGTACACAAATGATCACACAAGACAATTTGAATCCATCAACTTTCATTCATATGAGGAGCTGAACCTCGCTATGCAATCTGCAAATCACCAAAAACAAATAGAGAAAAGCTTCTTGAAGCATTAACAAGTGGTGGTTGGGAGGAGGGGAGCAGTTGAGATGATAATATAGAGAGATCTGAACAATAGGAACCTGAATTCTACCTGCAAAAGACGAGGATGTTCTTTTCATACAAGTAAGCCTCCAGTCCTAACTACGGAATCAATGAAAGAACCTTTATGATTCCCATTAGATTCTCTATACTAAGTTTCATGATACATTCAATTCTTACAAAACTGTTATATATTATCCTGAGAAATCCAAACTTCAAGGTAAAAAATGGTAGAGATCATTCTAACACATACATCTTCTAGAACCATAGAAACCATAATACATATCATCATCAAGAACAAATGTCTATCACTTCACCTGTGTAAACCATTAATGGAAAAGACAAACAAATTGCCAAGCATTTCACGATAAGAAACTGTTTACATGAAAATGAACCCTCTTTTATTTAGTTTTGGTCAATTACATATGAATCTCTTCAATACAAAAAATTGGGAGTTAGGGATACAAAGCCATCACCTCCTTCAAAGTCTAACATGGTGAGTTTAAAAAATACAATACCAATGGCCTCAGCTACATGACTACATTTCTACAGAATTAGACTCATCAAACCCAATTTAGACGATAAACAGCATCATCATGAAAAAAAGAAACAAAACCAAATAAAAAAACAAAAAAGAGAACAACAAAACAACAACATTTACATACAGATCATAGCGGCAGCCAATACAGGCTGCAAATACCCACATAAGTATTAAGTTGCCGGACAAAACTTGAGAAGTTGTTGTGCTTGAAATTCCTCGGCAAGATGAGCCTGGAAAACTCCAATGGGTCCCACACCACGAAGCTGTTGCCGCCGGAGCCCCACGATATGATCGAATCAAGCGACGGGTCGTCGACCAGATCGAAAGTCTTGGACAGAAACGGTGGAACCGGACTGTCCTGTAGACATTCAAGAGGCTGCGGGACGGCCACGTGCTCCACGCCACCAGCGTCCATAAACGACGACGTTGCAGTCGGAGCTTTCTCATCAAACTCGAAAGCACCAGAGGACCAAGAAGACTCCGATGGGTTTAGAGCACAAAAGGCTTCAAATTCCATCAGAGGAGAAGTAAACGAAGGAATTGGCTGAGAACCCAACAACGGTTCTGACATTTCGGGTCGAAGCGGTGAGAACCCAATATTCTCCGGGTCCAATTCAGCTGAAGTAGGTGGAGACTTTGGGTAGCTCTCGTCTTTTGGGTTCATATAACGAAATTAATACTATTTATAAATGGCAGCAAACCGACTTCTGGGTGAGAGAGAGAGAGAGAGGTGGGTGTGGCAGGTGAAAAATGGGGATTGAGAGCTTGGGGAGCGGTATATAAGAAGGTAGAAAGGTTTTGCCGACAAGGTGTTCGATAAAAATCTCGAAAGAGCGTTCAAAGGCGGTGAAGGTTTTGCCACTGTTACAGTCGCCTTCTTGGTCATCCCAGCTCCGAGCCATTCAGTTTGGGTCACACGAAAGTGGGGCTCCCTGCAATTTGAGAGTGTTTCAGCAACCGACCTTGAGAAAGAGAGAGAAAGAGAGTGAAAGAGAGGGCGTAGTTTCCTTGGAGCTACGCTTTTTTGAAAATCAGTTATGGTGGTTCTGTTTTGGCGGGGACCCACGGCCGAGCTGAGATATTTGTCTCTCGATATTTTGTCTGGACTAGGTGACGTGAGATTGGCATTGTTGTAAGTTTGAAAATGATTTGGTAGGTCAGGGTATAATACTTGGGGACGAAGTTAAGTGGGAGGACCAATCAGGAGATGAGATTTCGTCATTATTAGATTTCGGGCTACGGTTTCGACAGGTGCTGACGTCTCAGGCATCGTGTTTGGTTACTGTTTCGGTCAAAATTATTTGGTTCCTTTTGTTGGCATTAAATTTAGGGTTAATTTCAATTTAGTATTATAAACTCTTACTTTAAAGCACATTTGTCCCTACTCTCTTAATTTTAACAATTACATACCTTAAGCTTTTCAATTTTGTACAATCTGGTTACGGCGTTAACTTCATCGTTAAAGTTTTTGTTAATTGCTTGTGTGACAGGCTTGGGTCCAGGGACGAATCTAGGATTTCAAAACTCCATGGGCTAAATTTACCTTACGCACGCATAAAATTTCAATAGTAAGGGCCATATCGCACCAAGTTGGACTTTACAACACATGTGAGAGAAAAAAAAAAACAAAGGAGAAACGAAGGGAAAAAAAAACAAGAGAAAAGCAACCAAAAAATAAAAGAAATAGGAAGAAGAAACTGTGGGAAAAAGCTCAATTCGTAGTAGATTTAAATCGTAAAAAAATGGAGAAAAGAAGAAAAAAAAAACAAGAGAAAGGCAAAAAAATAAAAGACATAGAAAGAAGAAGAAAGAAAGGAGTAAAAGAAGAGACAGAGAGCAAAGGACCCACTAGTGTAGTGGTTTGGAGTATTTACTCCCTCAGGCAAGGTCCTGGGTTCGAGTCCTAGCATCAGTGTAGTGTGTGTGAGTTTAGTATGCTATCGCCCCTCTCAGAAAAGAAGAGACAGAGAGAACATGGGTATTGAATTTTTTTTTAAAAAGGCATGGGCTATAGCCCATACAGCGCAATAACTAGATTCGTCCCTGCTTGGGTCCCATCTATTCACTTCTTTTAATGTCAGTTGAAAGGTATTCTGTTTAAAAATGATTCGGTATTAATGCATGTAATGTGTTCTTTATGAGTTGGAAGACACCAATTACTTGAAAATACTCTTCAATTGATATCAAAATAAGTGAATTGGTGAGACCCATGCCTGCCATGCAAACAATTAACCGAAATTTTGATGTCGAAATTAACACCGGAATCATATTGCAAAAAATTGAAAAGCATTAGAGTGCGTAATCTTTAAAATTGATAATGTAGGGGCAAATGTGCTTTAAAGGTAAAAGTTTATGGTACTAAATTAAAATTAACCCATCTTAATATATTACTATTATATGATAAAGGACCATTTACGTTTTCAACATATTAAAGGCTATTGGAATACACGTGAACGGATAGACCAAAAGTTTGTCTATTTTATTTACTTTTATTATTAGATACCGATTGATGTAACACATGAGGTGGCAAAATACTGTTAGAAATCCAATTCTGGATTATCAAAACTAGAGGCGGGTAACCAGGTTCCGTATGGTTTAAGTGGCTATAGATGAAAAGAACAAAATTAAAGCTGGGCAACACATTGTCAATCCATTTGGACCGATCAAATTAAATAAATTCGAGTGGTTTGGTTCTATTTTTACGCTAATAAAGTTTCATAATTCATTGAATTGAACCAAACCTGGGCCAGCCCGTATGTACAGTATACCCCTTAAACCATACTAAAACGTACATATTAACTTTTTCCTTTTCTTTTTAAATAATTTTTTTTTAATACAAGCGATAATTTAAATTACTTATAAGTTTTTAACTTTTAATTATTTTTCCAAATTAACAGTGTTAAATTGAGGGTTAAATAAACTGACAGATGTCAACTAAATGGAACAGAGACATGGGGGGACACCAAATTTTGGGACATCAGATCTCCTCTAGCAAGTTAACAACAACAAAAAAAAAACAAACAAACAAACCTGGAAGTTGAGAGCGGATCCGTTGTCCTCAATTTGGTGCCCCTTTTATGTACATTATCTAGTTATTTGGGTTTGTATGTTTTTTTTGGACCCCATCCATATATGATTTGTACTGTTTCCGATGATCTTGTCGGCCTTTTTAAGCCCAACGTTATATGTGTAAGCCTTAATGACTAGTTTTCGTGTGTTTTTTTCTGGACTGGGCACCTTCAATTGAAAAAGAAAGTCTTGTAGTCATCACATAAATCCCGAAATAGTAATTCTTGCCCCACAGTGGTGGTGGAGTTTCTTTCCTTCAATGTAACAAAAATAAATAAATAAATAATTATTGCAGTAATTGGTATTGGTTTTTATTGTACATTACCCTATTTTTTTGGTCGAATTGTACATTATCCTTGAGTAACTATCAGATTACACAAAAGCAGCTGTAGTTTGTTGGCTGCGACTTTCATGATCTGGTGGGGAAGATCAAGTTCGACGCATTTTGGTGTATAAAAGTGGTTGTAGTTTGTTAGTCAATGTTTTTATTATTTTTGGGTGGGCTGGTTATGTTAAGTTGGGCTGAAAATCACGTGAGCTATAACCCAAGTTAGTCAATGCGGAGGAGCCGTTCTAGAGTAAGGTCTTATCTCTTAATTATTGGATGAAATTGATTAGTCATTGGATCAGTGGTTAGTTTGATCCAACGATTAAAAGATAAGGCCTCATCTAAGAGCCTTAGATAAAGTCCTCACTATAGAATTCTACACTATGAAATCCATCAAATGACTTAAAATGTTAATGATTTTCTCAATTACAATTACCTACTTGAGTAAAATAAGCATGAAAGTAACTAAAGTGGATTGGATTCTCACAAGCAAATTCATCATCTGATCCAATCATATCAGCTTTGAAAATTAGGGATCTAATTCAATATGCCAAATTATCAAAACTGATTTAAATTGAATTGGATTAGATCGATCAATTTGGATGGATTGAATTGAATAAATTCTTACACACCCTTATTCCGACTTTTAGCAACAAATACGCTAGAAAAAACTGCATGCATTTGAGTTATTCCATGATTTAGCACCTCATCACCCAAACAAAAATATTCAAAGAACAAATTTGCACTATGTTTCTTTCAACAACAATGCTGGAAAATAAAGCCTTTTTTTTTTTTTTTTTCCCCAGTTACATCAAAATGGTAGTTAGTGGGCTACCACTCTGAGACGGGTCGCTGTTTACGAAAAGCTCTCCCGAAGAGGTTCTTTACAGGACTCGAACCCCTGACCCCTTAAGGATGGTACTCAGAGGCATTACTGAATTTGTGGACCTAGTCAGCTTTTATCCACTAGAACAAACCCCTTGGGTAAAGCCTTTTTACTTTAAATAGTGGTGGAACTTGGACATGTGCAGCATCTTAAATGTTTAGCGACATATATGTTGGTGCGAGTCGTTGAGTATCATCTGCAAGGCATTTTCCATGCACGACTTCAACTTTTGTGGATCTATGACACCTTTTTCCATTTTGAAGGCGACCCTCACTTTTCCCATGTAACTTACCATGGTTATTTCAAAGCCCTGCAGATCCATCCATGTAAGGAATGTTACATTAGTTGCTAAATTTCGTAATGGAAAAAATTAATAATACAAATTGAACTTGAAGAGTACAAAAGAAGGTTCATTAATTCTTAATTTTTTAAACTGTTGAACTATTTATAGTAATTTTTATTTATTTATTTATACAAACGATTCGGGGAGTGGTGGTTTGCACAAATATTTGATGGGTGTCTGGGGGCTTCAAACATCTGCCTATATAGGTGGAAGTGAAAGAACTTAACCAATTGAGTTAAATTTTCACCGACTAAATAGGAGGGAGGAGTTAAATTTTTACGTAAGATTCATAACAATCTGTGACATACCAGAGGTCCACCGCCGACCAAAAAGTATAAACCTTTTATTGGATGATTAGCCAAAGACATTTGTTCCACAGGTCCAATCAAATTTGAGATTAGCATGCTTGTGTTCTTCAATGTGCGATGAATGTATTTCCCGCATGCCTGCAAAACTAGCAATATGTTAACACTACTAATACTAAATAATAAAAATTTCTAAGTTTGAGCTCCGAAGAAGATTGAACAGGTTCAAATTAATCAGGTCGTTCCGTGCCGGCACAGTGGCTGAAAGATTTCAGAGTGTAGTCTTCACTTTAAATTTACTAACCTCACGGCTTCCAAATTTGTGCACAATCTCCAAAAGCCTACTATTGAAATAAGCAGCTAAAGAGTTTCTCTTTCTCTTTATTATTTTGTGTGTGTTCCAGATAAAGTCCAGCGGATTTGAGAGTTCAGTTAACTTGGGTATGGGTACATGCATGAATGTAAAACGATTTCCCCATGGCGTCTTGCTGTTGGGTTTGATCATCTCCTCAATTGGCACATAATCCCCCATGATCCTTGTGTTGAGCAACACCATTGCTGTACAATCTGCTTTGCTTGAACTTTGGTTAATCTCTTGCATGTACAGTCGAGTTCCGAAGAAGATCATCCCGGCCAGAACATCATTTACAGTCTGTAATATAGTAAGTGAAAAGGTAAATTACATTGTATATAATGAATAAGTAGATTTAGTTTGATATCAGAAATGCATAATTTCTTTATTTACTAAATGACTTCCCACTCAAACAATACTTTATTTCCCACTTAAATGGTCACAGCTTTTCCAACTCTATAAGGATGCTTTTATTTCCTAATTAGAATGTAACTTCCTAGGTTTATCCAATTTGTCACCATAAAAAAAATAAAAAATTAAGAGAAATGTCACTTTAATTTTTCAAAATTCATGATTTTTCATCTGACTTTAACACCATCCAATTGTTCATACATTTTATGGGTATTTTAGTCTTTCCATTTTCGAGGGTATTTTGAAAATGGAAAAATTATTATAAATTTTTTTATATATCTTTTAAACAATTAAAATGGAGAAAAAAAATTATCACCTTCCCCCTTCCCTGTGCGCCACTTAGTAGCTCCAACCAACCCTGCTCACCTTGAAATCCATTCCCTCTTCCCTCTTCACAGCCCCTTCCTCCTTCTCTATCTATCATGAAATACCTACCCTCCACACACAAATTTCCTTAGCCCACCCAAACCGAGTCCACCTTTTCCTTTTTCTTTTTTATTTTTGGTAATTTTCCATTTCCATGCTCAATGAACACCATAAAAAAATTTATACATGCTCAGAGAGAGAGAGAGA